CCTCTGAGAGCAGCTCCTCGGGATCAGACTCCGGCACTGAGGCACCAACTGTGGTGGAGGCCAAGCGGAGGAAGACGGTGAGGACTGGGCTGGAAGGAGGTTGGGAGGATCCCTGCCCTCTGCTCACTCCACGTCTCTGATGCCTTGCAGATTCCTAGCAGCAAGGCTGGCCCCAAGGAGATTTCCCTGCTTGACCTGGATGATTGTGAGTGGCTGAATGGGATGGCCGTGGTGGTGGCTCTGGGGAAACCAAGGCATGAGGGTCTGTAGGGGAATGCAGGGATGTCCTCTGCAGGACAAGGGGAAATGGTTTTAAGTTGAGGGAGGGAAGATTTAGGTTGGATGTCAGGGGGAAATTCTTTACAGAGAGAGTGGTGAGGTGCTGGAACAGGCTGCCCAGAGAGGTTGTGGATGCCCCGTCCCTGGAGGTGTTCAAGGCCAGATTGGATGGGGCCCTGGGCAGCCTGGCCTAGTATTGAATGTGGAGGTTGGTGGCCCTGCATGTGGCAGGGGGGTTGGAGCTTCATGATCCTTGAGGTCCCTTCCAACCCTGGCCGTTCTGTTATTCTGTGATGTGTGGGGTCTTTGGATGAGCAGGAATGGGGACAGAGATTATGGGGGTGGACAGCTCCTGTCTCTTGAGGCTGGTCCTGGGGAAGGTGACTGTGCCACCAGGATGTCCCATGCTGCATTCCCCCTGGGGTGGTGCCTGAGGGACTTCCCCCTTGTGACTACACCACTGAGGCTGTCCCCATGTGGCTGTCCCCATGTGGTTGGTGTCCCTCTGCTGTTTCCTCATGGGACTACACCACTGAGGCTGTCCCCAAGTGGTGTCCCTCTACTATTGTCCTCATGGTGATACATGACTGAGACTGTCCTCATGTGGTTGGTATCCCTCTGCTGTTGTCTCCATGTAGCTGTCCCCATGTGCCTGTGCCACTGATATTGTCCCCATGTGGTATCCCCATAGGACTGTGGCTGATTGGAGCTTTCTTAACCCTTTCCTCCCCCCACAGTCACCCCCCCACTTCCCCAGCCTGTCCCCTCTAGCAACATCATCTCCACCAGCCTGGTGACTGACCTAGAGGGCCTCACGCTTACCGACACCTCCTTGGCACCTGCCGTAAGTGTCCTCCACGTTCCTCCCATGGTCACCCAGGGAATGGGCTTGGTGGCCTACATTGTCCTGTGGTCCCTGGCAGCTGCTGAGCCCAGCGTTTGGTGCGGTGAGGACATATGAGCTGTTGCACCGCATGGCGGGTGAGGGGCTGTCAGTCGAGTACTGCTTCAGCCGCCGTCCCTTCCCGGGAGACCCACACATGGTGGCTGTCCAGATCCAAATCTCCAATAACACCGATGCCGAGGTGAAGAGCCTGCGAGTCAGCGAGCCCAAGCTGCTTGCGGGCATGCGGATCCAGGAGTTCCCTGAGATTGGTATGGTGTAGCACAACACCAATGCTTTGGGATGGAAGGGGACAGTGGTGGAGGGGAGGTGGGACACGGTGGCAGCCCTGTGCTTTCAGAGAGCCTGGCACCCGGGGACACAGCCAGTGTGGTGATGGGCATTGACTTCTGTGACTCCACCCAGGCAGCCAACTTCCAGCTGTGGTGAGTGACTTGGCAGGAGGGGACAGGAGGGGTGTCTCAGGGGATGGGGACAGTGGGACAGGTACCAACATCTCTCCAAGGGACACAGGGCTGCAGGGGACAACAGATAGCAGGACAAGACTTTGGCTACCCCAAGGGTTGGGAGACAGCAGGACAGGGTACGAGGGAGCCCAAGGGACAAGGAATGGCAAGACAGGGCTTCAGGGATGGCTAGATGGGCACTAGAGGACAAGGGATATCAGCACAGAGCACTGGAGTACCCCAGAGACAGCAGGACAGGGTATGGTGAAGTCCAGCAGACAGTGGGGCAGGCACAGTCCCTCCAGGGGATGGGGACACCAGGATGGGCCCCAGGGTCCTTCCAGGGGAGGAGGAAAACTGGCATGGACACGGGGTGCTCCAGAGGACAGTGGGACAGGCACTAGGATACAAGGACATGGAAGCAGTCCCAAGTCCAGTCTGATGGAATCTCCTATTCCCCAGCCATTTTGTGCCTCAGTTTCCCTCCAGTCATCCTCCTGCATGTAATGGCTTAGGGCTAGGTTCAGTGCAGGAGGAAGTAAAGTCCTCTCATGCATCCACTCTCACTCACCTGTGTCCCCAGCACCCACACGCGCCACTTCTACGTCTCCATCCAGCCACCAGTTGGAGAGCTGATGGCCCCTGTCTTCATGAGCGAGAACGAGTTCAGGAAGGAGCAGGGTGAGTGGCGACCAGGGCCAGGTCGGGGGGTCACCCACCATCCCCACGGTGGCACTCACTGCATGCTTTGTCCCCATGCCATTTGTGTCGTGGCCCAGAGCACCTTGCGCAGCAGGGTAAGGGTAAGTGGCTCTAGAATAGCTCCCTTTGTTCTCCTCTGGCACCAGAGTGGCCCTGTGGGGTAGTGGGACATCTCAAGATCCTGTACACAGGTCTTCACAGGGTCCCCATACCCCTTCCTGTTTGGCACAGGAACATCATGTCACTTTGTGGTAAGTGACGGGGACGCCCTGGCCCTGTGACACCACACTCTAAGAGATGACATGTCTGTGGTGAGCTGGAGATACCAGGATGTGGTGGGTGCTCTGGGCCTGTGGAATCTGGCTCCATCACCTTACACTGCTGGTGCCTGGAGGAGCCCATCCCTAGAGACATGGGACATGGCCACAGGCTACCACCACCAGGCAGGCTGACAGGGACAAGCCTGGAAAGGATCATGGAGGAAAGGTTTTCCCAAATCCAGCTCTGCCAAGCTAAAGAGGAGCAAGCGAAACAGGGAGTCAGGACCTCACTGAGGATACAGAGGTGTCTTGGGACAGAGCTGAGCTGGAGTGGGAGGGGACAGGACTAAGGGCTTGGCTTGAGGACTGCAAAATGGGCCCTGGTGGGGACATGGCCACTACTAGTGGTGGCCAGAGATGGGCAGGGCATCTGCTGCCTGCTCCAGGGAAGCTGACGGGCATGAGTGAGATCACAGAGAAGCTGACACTGCCTGAGAAGTGCCGGAGTGACCATGCCATCGTCCAGCAAGTGACTTCAGCTGCCAACGTGGGACGTGTGCCCTGTGGAGCTGACAACGAGTACAGGTAGCCAGACACCTCGTAGCATTTCAGCTTCCCAGGGAGTGGGACCCACTGCAGGGACAAGGTTGGGGTCTGGACACACATGGTTCTCTCTGCAGCCCTACCCGAGTGAAATCAGTTCCCTTATGGGGACTGTTGCAGCTTCCTTTAGGACAAGGGGCCCGCATGATCCCTCACACAAACCCCCTGTGGCAGTGGCTGCGGGTGGCAGACACCTCCCCGCTCCCCATCCCAGGGACAGGGTGGCGGTGCAGGGCTCAGCTCACCCTGACGCCTCACGTTTGCTGGCGGACAGGTTTGCGGCCAAGACGGTGACCAGCGGGAGCCTGGTGCTCATCACCCTGGAGTGGCGGGAGGGAGCAGCGGCCCAGCTGACGGTCAACAGCGAGAAGATGGTCATCGGCACCATGCTGGTGAAGGACATCATCCAGGCCCTGGCGCAGTGACGGCTGGGCCCCTCCACCCTCCTCTGTCCTTCTGCCCCTCGTTGCTCTCCCAAAATCCTCCTGTCCCTGTAACGGGGTTATCCCCTGCCCCAGCCTCCATGGAGCGGCTCAGGATGATGTCCCTCAGTGGGGACGCAGTGGCTCCAACCACCCGTCTCTCACCAGTCGCCCCGTGTAACTCTATTTATTATGGCCAATAAAGCTCTCCTCCAACCCGCACCCTTCTCCTCCGCTGTGTGTGTGCCGTGGTCGGGTGGTCCCAGCGGGTCCCTTCAGCATCGGGGGCAGAGCCCTCGGGCAGAGCTCGCCGCAGCCTTCCCGTACTTGCAGGGTGTACGCAGGAGGAGGAACGACTTTGTACGCTGTCTGATAGCGACAGAAATGGGAGAACGGCTTTAAACAACAGAGAGGACGCTGAGGTGCGGTGTGAGGAGAACACCGTGACACGGAGGCGGCGAGGCGCCGGCACCGCTGCCCAGAGCTGTGCTGCCCCGTCCCTGCGGTGCCGAGGACACGGGCGGGCCCCAGGCAGCCCGCGGCAGGGCCGGAGCTGCGCGATCCTCACGGTCCCTCCCGAGCCGAGCCGCACTCGCTCAGTGTGGGGAGGGACCCTGGGAGGCCGCCAGGTGTTGCTGCACGCCGGGCTGAGCGCACAGCTGCGCGCGCCGCACCTCGCCAGCGGGCGCGGGGCAACGGCCCGAGGGGGCGCGAGGCGGCGCCGCGCGCATGCGCGCCGGCCCATAAAAGCCCGGCGGGGCGGAGGGGCGCCGCCTGTAGCCGCTCCCTCGAGACTCGCCCCCCTTCGGCAGCGCTCATGGCGTTCCCGCCGGTGAGGGAAAGAGCGAGCATGCGCGGTGCTGGGGGGGGGAAGGGAGGGAGGAGGAGGTGGAGGAAAGGATGGGGGAGAGCTCGCCGTCGTCACGTGACTTCGCACGTGGGCGGTGGGGTGAGCGCTGGGCGGGAGCGGGGCGCTGAGGAGATTGGGCGGGAAAGCGGTTGCTGAGGAGTTTCGGGGGTGGCCCCGCGGGCGGGGGGTTACCGCTGCGCCCAGCCCCTGTCCGAGGGATTGCCCGCGGGTAATGGGAAGCTTGTTCCTAAACCGGGACAGTGAAGTGACCTAAAGCTAACAGGGGTTTTTAAAGCAGGCTACTACTCGCTGTCCTGCTTGCTGCTGATGCTCCTTCTCTCTTTCCAGAAGGAAGACAGAGGGAGGAGCATAAAGGACTGCTGGGACAGCCCAGATGCCCCTGCCCTTTCCACTTGCAGCAATGCAGATATATTCCGCAGGATAAATGCCATGTTGGACAACTCTTTGGACTTCAGTGGTGTCTGCACCACTCCCATCACAAAAAGCAAGCGTGAAGTCTTGCCAGGTGACGTAGCTGTGGAAGTGGTGCGGCAGGCCCTGCTTCCTGCAGGCTGGGGGAAGTGGGAACGCTCTGCTTTGCACTTGATTTGCCTCAGAACAGGAGGCTGTGCGCCAAAGCGAGGAGTGCTGGGCCCACACTTTGGTGTAATTAAAGGATGTGCTCTTGACCTTTTAGAGTAGGTGAGGTCTGTCAAAAAATGTACTTGCCCACAGCCTGGTGTTGCTGGTGCTTCTGTGTAGCAGTGCTTCTGCCAAGGGCTTGGGTGCTGGATAGAGGTTGCTCTTCCTGCCTCTGAGTTATGGGGTCAGTAAGTGCTCTGGCCATTACTGGAAGCAAACTGGTGCTCTAGATGTGTCCCAAAGCCAAACGGGGAGTAAAGGAAAAACCTCACCAACTGGTAACCTTGTAGGCAGACAGGATTCACTTGCAGCTGCTCTTGGTGGCAGGTTTCCTTAATTGAGTGCAGGAAGCTGTAAACTGGTGTTTGGTGGATCTGGTGGCTGCTTGCATAGTGCAGTTTTGTTCTGAACTTGCACAGTGATTGCTACCAGGTAACTTGCATTACAGCTTAATCTCCTGAGTATTGAAAGGGTTTAGCTCTGTGCTGATCTGGCCATGTGATTTGCAGTGGCACTGCAGAAATGCCAGAGGAAGTATGGATTGTTTCCTTTTAGGTAGGGGTCTATACCTGGCATGGCTAGTGAAACAGCTCTGGAGACTTGCTGTCAGCTTCTGAGTGGTTACATAGTGAGCATTAACTCATTCAGGTCAGTGGTGTGGTTATTAGCTCTTTTGTAGAGGCTGCTGTTGAACTGGTTAGATTCTTCTGTCCCCTGTAGCTATCATTATTGCATCTGGCCTTGATGTGCTGGAAGGGTAAGGGAGTAATAAACCTATGATGCTGCTGGGATGTGGTGCCTCTGTTGGGAACTGCATAAAGTTTCTTGGAAGAGATGTGCTCCAGCAGGGGAAATCCTTGCACTTCAAATCTATTTGTAGTCCTCAAGCTTCTCAGTTGTTTCCTCAGGTCAAACTAAATTTATCCTGGATTGGATGTGTTTAAGCAATGCCATTCAGCAGTAAGAGGATTATACGTGGTGAAGGAGGGACTGCAGGAGTTCGTGGCCTTTTGCTAATATGGAGTCAGTCAAGGTGTGTGGGTCAGAATGACATCAGACTGAGTAACGTATGGCAAAAGCCTCATCAGTGCTTTTATTTCTGACACATTTGGAAAGTTATCCAGCTCTGGGCAGAGCTATATGTCAAAGGGACTGCTGCTGGAGACTTACTTGGGCATACCTAATGTTAAAGATGACTTTGCAGTTGATGATATTCCTTGGTGAACTTAATTGCCTTGTCAAAATGATCCACCTTGTCAGGCCTTGACTGCTGTGTGGTTCTTATGGGTGCTTCCTTCTGGAGCTTCCCAAGCATAAGGCTCAGGTCAGGCTGGTGCTGTAGGGCACAGTGTGGCAGTGTAATTGTGGAACTTGTCTCCGAAGCCACCAGACAGGATTGCTTCCAAATACCTGCTTCTCTCCATGGAACCAGCCTAAAAGGCAGTGCTTCCTCAGTGTGGTGGCATGTGTGCTCAGCCCAGTCTGGGTAAGGAGGTGAGCGAAGCCAATCTTTAGGTAGCTCTTGTTGCACGGCTTTTTCAGTGGATTTATTTGCCAGACTTGAAAGCCAGGCATTGCTGGGTGGAAGGTGCTGCTGCCAAGTTTGGTTAAGAAAGCTAAACCAGCTCTGGAAATTGCCAGCCTGTTCTGTAGGCACAGTGTCCAGCTTAATTAAGTAGAACAGCAAGTAAAGCTCCTTCTCTTTAGCCTTTGTTTGCTCACCTGGCTAAACTGACTGGAGTTTCAACTAAAGCAGGCTTAAGATGGCTAACAAATACTCCAAATATAGCCATTATTTTGTTGTAAATCGACTATCCATTGTGCAGGGGATTGAGAGATGCTTAAACTATTTTCCATGGGTGGGAGTGGTTTGAGGTGCCAAGGTGTGTGTAAAGCTGCTGGTGCGGCTCATCAGCTCTTAATGATTCCAAGTATCTGCTTTACCTTGGAAAAACTAAAAGACAAATGCAAACAGACTAAATCTGCTTCCTGCCCACTCTCAATTGCAGTTAGCTAATGGCATCTCTTGCTGAGCCACCCACAAAGTACTCCATGGTACTACAATGTGAGAGTGCTTACGTTCTACACAGCTGCAGCCACCAGCATACATGCCAGGAGCACTGGATGTGTGGCACCTGGAATGAGGGGACAAAATGCTGTAAATGATCATCTGGAATGTGGCCCTGCTTACTTGAGGTTAGCAGGGTGTCATCTACAGCAAAGCTGCTATCAGGTTGCATTGAGGGCTGCTCTGCTTTCCCAGGTAAATGGTGTATACCTGGTATGCAAAGCTGGGATAGTAAACTTGGTACCTGTGTGCCCTGAAAGAGGCAATGCCTACTGCCTTTGACATATATGTATTCCATGTGGTGGAGATCCAGCAGGCTTCCTGTAGGTTTCCTGATCTGCTGTGCTGGTGATGTGCTCAGTCATTCAAGTTTTGATGCAGTAGTCCTACAGCAGTCCCTTGCTTGTTGAGGTAGGTAAAGCAGCAGATCAGTTGTGACCCCATGTAGCTTCCTAAATTGTTGGTTGCTATCTGCTCAGGTGCTCGTGGTTGCCAAAATAAGGCAGATGTCTTCAAAGAGGTAGTTCATGTGGCACCAAATTTCCCTACTTAGAGTCTTCCAGATTACAGGAAAGATGCTTAGTTGTGCAATTAGGTTTATGCCTAACAAGAGCTTTCCTAAGCCCCCAGTGATCCCTGGTTGTACCTGAGAAGTACCATTGGCTTATCCTGTAAAGGCTTTCGCTGAAGATTTGTTTTAGTCTTGTATGCAAATCATATTTGAGAAGCTTAATTTTCATGGATGCAACTCCTAGCCTTTGAAACTAGAGGGATAAAAGATACAAGAGGGTGCCTCTGCTGTGACCCATTGGGCTTAGAAATACTTTACCTTGTACTTTGCTGGATTGGTTTTAAAAGGTCAGTCTTGGGCAATGCTGTTGCACACCAAGATGTCTTGGAGAGTCAGTGAGCTTTCCTTTCTGCTTTGCAGCCTGGTTGTGTATGTATGCCCTACTCTCAAGGGCCTTGTTTGTGGGAACCTCTATCAGTGCTTGTCTAGAAATGAGTGGGAGGGCAGGGAGACCTCCATGTGGCTGCAGCCTGTGCTTAATGCAGGTGTGCTTAATCATTCTACTTCCACCTCTTCCTCACATTTCAAGCTCAGTGCCTTGTTTTCTCCATGCAGGCTTAGCTGTAATTTCCTAAGTACTTTCCTATTTCAAATGTCTGGCTGGTGCAGCCACACTGCATACTAGACTGGGGAAAGAAGCCAGGCTAAAACTATCTCCTGCTAGTATGGCTTTAACTACATGGATTCCCTAGCCCAGTTGGGGAACTGTCTAGGCTGGTCCAAATGGGAAGTGCATGGCTGGGGGACAGGTGTCTGCAGCTTGTGTAAGCCGGCTGGTGGGGCTGAACCTAAGGGCTGACCTGTGCTGAGATGCAGCTTGTTAAGAAGTCTTGTGCTAAGAACCCCAGAATGCTACTGAAACAAAACCCAGCTGGCTTAGGCACAAGCCCAGTGCAGCAATGCAACTCCCTCTGTCAGCATGGTTGGGTTCCAGTGGCAGCTCTATGGAGAAGTCCAAGTTGCAGTGGTTGAGGCTGGCTACGTGGTCTTGGAAAAGGCTGCAGCAAAGCATTGGGCTGGGTTGCACTAGGTTGCAAAGTGAGATTAATATTTGGTAGGCATGTACTTGCATCTGACTTGAGGTTGTGATTGTTTGGGCTGAATTTCTGTAGGAAATGAATCCCTTATGCCCCGCGTCCTGCTTGCCAGAATATTGTGTGATGGGGGCTGATCTAGAAGATGGTAGAGAACCTGGTGATGGGATCCTGCTGACCACAGGGAGGGAGGGTTGCCTATTTCTGCCAGGGCCGTGGGCTTGAGCAGAGTGCTTGTGCGCTGCCATAATCACAGGAATGCTGCATATTCATATGGGCAAGTTGTGGTTGCTGTGGGAACTGAGTTGTCTAAGCAGTGTGCTTTTGTCCTCTTCTCCATACAGCTGGGTTGCTAATGCTTTTAGGGCCTGTCCAAAAGCAAAAACTGTACTAAAGGAACTAATGCAGTAAAACACCCAGCTGAAGATGCAGTGTGATACTGTCAGAAAAATATTCAGTGCTGTTACAGGTGATTAGTTGAAATGTGACTGAGTTGGTGTTGCAGCTTGTTCTGGTAATTCTAGGGGAGCAGGAGAACCTGTGGATGCTATCCTAGTCAAGTCCTGTACTGTTTTACCCTGTCACATCCTGACCATGGAGCTTGGGCTCCTGAGACCACATGAGGATGAAAGTGAGGGCTTCACCATGGTGCTGGGTGAGTGGAAGAGGACTGGGGTGTCTGAGATGGCATGTGAGGAATAACATGATGGGCTGGAGCTGCGAGTGGCATGCACAGGTTGCGCAAATGATGGCACGGTGGGAGGGAAGGGGGCAGGGGGAGGGGGAGACAGCTGCCACTACCAAGGAGCCAGCTTATAAATACCCTCTGACTCAGATTTTTGGAGCATCATGTGGTTTCATCAGCCCCCAGATCCCACACTAAGCTGGAATTTGCAGGCTATGAACCTGCTGTGTTTCCTTAGGCTGTTGGCACAGGCATAAACTGAGGCAGGAGCCTGCTGTCTCCAGTACTGTAGGCTTGTGCAGGGAGGGGAGGGATGGGGGAGACCAGCGAGTGGAAGGGAAATAGGCCGTGGAAAATCCCGTTGGGAAGTGGGATTGGTGTGCTGCACTCATACAGACTGGAGTGGGATAACATGCTTCCCTCTCAGTAGTTTGGGAGGGGTTGGAGGGGGGTTTGAAGGTTATACTTGTTACTCTGTGGTAAACAATGCAGAGTCAGGGTGACAGAGTGGCTGAGCTGAGCCGAACAGATGATGCTAGCAGAATTGTGAAGCTTTGCGTTGGGCTCTGAATTGGAGCCAGCAGCTGGAGGCTGTCCAGGACTAAAGTGTTTTTTGGGTTTTGTGGGTGGAAGGGAGGCGGGGACGGGAGAGCTGGGTAGCACTCAAACTAACTGTCTGCTTTGTCGTTGCTGGGGGGATTGCTGTCTGCTGTGCTGTGGAGCTCTGCTTTGTGCTGCCTGGCTTACCGGAGCTGTGCCCCTTCCCTCCTCCTGCCTGCTGCCTTCTCTTTTGGGGGAATCCATCCTTTCTTCTTACCTCTATCTTGTAAGAGCTGATGCGGTTCTGTTGCATGGCTGAGTGACGTCACTGTCAGCACAGTAAGCATCAGCAGCCTGGTCACATGCTGACCCAGTCAGTAATGCAGGCGGGATAGGAAGGTGGAGGGGCTGAGGGGGGTGGGGGGCTAGATTCTGGACATATGGTGGCCCTCCCTTTTGGGGTGCGACTGCTGGCTGTGGTGGCAGCAGCTTCAGAGCAGCACGAGACCTGCCGTGGGGCTTAACGCTTTGGAAAACTCCTTTTGAAAGAAAAAAGCAGCCCTGAACTCTCCAGCTTCTGTTTGTTCTCCATCTGAGCAGACTTCCAGGACTCTGACGAAGCAGTGGCGAGCAGGATGCTTTTCCCCACATCCACGCAAGAGTCTTCCCGTGGCCTCCCTGACACCAACGACCTGTGCCTTGGCCTGCAGTCCCTTAACCTTACAGGGTGGGACAGACCTTGGAGCACCCAGGACTCCGATGCTGCAGCACAAACTAGCCCACAATCCGGTGAGTCTGCTGATACATGCTGCAACAGTTGTTGGATTAATTTGTATTATTTTTTTGCCTGTTTTAAGCTAATGCTGAGTGTAATAGGTTGCTGGTAGCTACTGGTGAGGGCTTCTCAACCTCTAGTGCTTGTGTAATGTGGTGAGGACAGGGTTGAGTTGGGAAGCTGTGCCACAGCCCCTTTTGCTCTGCTGTCTGTTCACTGCATGCAGAAGTGCCTGGGCTGGCAGAGGAATAATGCAACAGAGCAGGAACGTTCTCCCTGGGTGGGTTGGGGGTGTGGTGCCTTAAGAGCTGAGCATGCCAGCTGTGAGCAGAGCTCAACTTTGCAGCCAGCAAAAATCCCTGGTGATTGGCAGGATGTGTGCTTGCAGAGGCACCCCCTTGCCATGACAGCACCTGGCTCTGCCTCTGGGGCCCAGCTGCCTGCAGCACTTGGAGACACCCTTTCCTGCTTCCACTAAATGACTGCTCTGAGGAGACACAGCAGAATGGCTTGTTGTTTTAACTCCTGTGGTCCAGTGCAAACCTGTGTGATCAGATGTCTGTGAGATAGTGGCCTTGCTGTTGCCTTGCCCTTTCCTTAGTCCTGCCCAGTCTGCGCTCAGTTCTGGTGGGGTAGGGAGCCCTTGGGAGTACCCAGCACCATGCAGGAGTCAAAACTCTTGCAGAAGCACCAGCCCTCTGTAAAGCTGTGTGTATGCAGGAGGAGAAAGGGGTGTTGTGTGCATAAACTTGGTTGTGGGGTGCTGGCTGTGATAGAGAGGGATCAATTTATTTTCCAGCCCCACAGGGCTGTAAAGAACAGCTCTGCAAGCACTGCTGTGCTCTTTCAAGTATCAGTCCGTGGAAAGATCTAGTGCTTTGGCAGAGTTTGTACAAGTTCAGCCTGGTTGCTACAGAAACTCATCCCTTTATAGCAGTGTGCTGCTGCTTTGTTAAAAGGGCAGTGCATCTCTGCACAGATCGGGGTGACACAGGAGGCTCCAGGCATGAAGTTGCTGTTGTTAGGAATGTAGATAGCTCCAGGACTACCCACATCCAGTTTCTGTAAGGCAGGGCATGCAAGCTGGAGTGTGAGAGCCCTAGCACAGGTGCTCAGGTTTGTTACAGTCTGGCTGCAGCAGCTCTAGCCTTGCTCTGCTGTAGCACATGGTCCTCAGGGCTTCCCCTAATGAGCAAGAGAATACCATGCTCTTGCTACGTGTCCTTCAGTCACTGCCTGCTGAAACATAGGATGATGGGGATATAAAGAGCTCTGTGCACAGCCTGTCCTAATGCACCTGCACCAATAACTTTAACTTCCATCATTTGTTACTTCTGGTATTCCCTTAGAACAAGAGGTGGGGATGACTGGGGTGTGAAACAGCTTAAATGCAACTGTTCTCCTTCCCCCAGAGGAATCTCAGGCTGTATGGCAAAAGCTGTTATGCTCTTGAGATGGCATTTGCCCCTCTTCATTCCTCCCTGCCTTCGAGATGTGTAGTAGTGAGGCCAGAAGTGCTTGTTGGCCTGCCTGTGTTCATTTTCTGCTTCAAGAACTGTAGAAAAGTGAAATGCTGGTATCTGTGCATGCCTGCTATGTTGCTCAAGCCTGCCCACACCTCCCACGTCTGCAGAGCCAGAGCTTCTGCTCTCTGAAGGCCCTGGAGTAGCAACACAGTGCTCCTTGGGAGGTTGTGTAGCTTGGGAGCCTCCCCAGAAAGGCTGCAGAGCTCCTGTCTGTATGGCAAAGGACTGCTCCTGTCTCTGAAAGCTGTACAGGTTCCTGCAGCTGATGTTTACAGGTGGCCTAGCTGTGCTGTGGCTGGAAGAAGGAAGATGTAAGCAGGATGCTGCCGTGTCTGGTGCTCCTGATGCCTGGCCTGGGCATCTCCATTGGGGTGTCCTGCAGGCAAGCAAGGATGTCAACAGTGAGCAGTGTCTTGGGGCTGGGGAAGGATGGTGTTGCTGTGCTGCTGGCATCCAACCATTGGAAGGTTCCAGCAGTGACTCAGCTGTACAGACCCATAGGGAGGTGGCTAGAAGTGTAGAAGTGTTTTTTTTTTTAAAATGTAAAAACCTAACAATCAGTCTAAAAATACTGCTAATGTGATCCCCTGCAGTGCCTGTGCTTGAGTACTGATGAGCTGGTACCTCCTCTGCTGTGAGTGCGGAACTCTGAGCCAAAGGGAAGGACCTGCTGGCTGCAGACCTTCTGGGTGTCACCTTGTGCACCTTGAGCAAAGCCATGGTGCAGGACTGGGTGCCATGATAAAGTGTAGCGAGGGTGGTTTGTATGCTCCTGTCCCCCTTGCCACAAGGATGTTGAAATGCCTGTGTGCAGACCAGGCTGTTTGCAGTGTGCCTTCCTTCTGGGTGCAGTGCTGTAATGCGCTGAGGATGTGTCCTTAGCCCTTGAGAGCGTGCCAGCTGCACTGCCAGTCCCTGAAGCTGGTGTCTGAGAGCTTTTTGGGAGGCGGCAGCTGCTGCAGGCTGGAGCTGTTTGCATTTATTGGCTGTTGGAGTGAACTGCTGTCTCATAGCAGAGAAGGCACATCAAGCCCACTGCTGCCACTAGATCTGTCAGGCTGGAGGTACTTCATCCAGCCACAGACAGCGGCTCTGTGGCCTAGGGAGGGGCTTTTAAGGAAACAAGTCTCAGGTGCTTCCAGTCCTGGAATCCCAGCTGCATTTCTTGAGGCAGCATTTCCCCTTCTTTCAAATATATCCCATATCAGGCAGCAAGGCATCAAGTTCTGTATTTACAGAGGGCCAGTGATGTGGGACAGCCCTTGGTAGTAGTCTTTATTTCCCCTGTTCCTACAGGATCACAAGCAAGTGCAGTGTCATTTCAGTTCTTGCCCCAGGAACTGGTGACAGCAGCACCTGAGCATGAATGAATGAGCAGCTCGTATGAATTTCTTGTTTCCCTGGACAGTGTTTGCTGGCAGCTTGGGCTGACTTGCCTGGTCTATCCTGCATAGGGTTAGTTTCAGTTTATATGGGATAGGAAGGCTTACCTACTAGGACAGTATCCTAGAACCAGTCTGTTAAAGTGGGACTTAGCAGTTAGCAAGTGCACTAGAGGAGTTTTCTGTGCTGTTCCCCTGAGCTTGGTCTGGGACTATGTCCTGTTGGTCACTGTGTTGCATCTAGTTACTGCCTGACAGATTCTGGCCCAAATGTGAGCAGTGCTTCTGGTCAGTTTCAGCCTTTTGTTTTGTTCCTGTCATTGTAAACAGAAGGAGCTTGTTCCTTTCTTCTTCCTTAGAAGATCACCAGCCTCTGAGGCAGCACTGTATGCTGCTACCAGTGCTTTGGGAAATTGTTAGTGATTACTTTGCCTACGTGAACACCCTTCTTGGGTATGGATGACCTGAACAGATAAGCAGTTCCTAAATGTCACCAAATTTCTAAGCATCACTCTGGTAGAGCAGCAGATTTCATCTTGATCTTAAATCTGCTCTGGAGGCTGCAGCTCCAACTGCATAGATACCCTCTACTGCCATCTCATCCTGCAAGGTTACAGCTCCAGTGCTGGGAAATGAGCTGAGGTAGATCTTCTCAATCCTCAATTTTTCTGCTTCCTACAGCGCAGCAACTTTTTTCTTCAGCAAAAATGAATGTACTGATTATCTGTGGCTGCTTGAAATCTTCTGGGCTGGAACTGCAGGCAAGCTGTTGTGCATTGCCTGGAAGAGAGCTGAAGCCTCTGCTCGTAGTCTGCCAGGCAAAACTCCATCTCCTGAAGGAGGATGTCTCTTGAAAGACAAGAGCTGTTGCACAGGAAGAAGCACCGCTATTTCCATGGACTCCTGACTTAATCTCTTGTAAGCAATGAGGGGCACTTGTGAGCTGCTCCCTCAGGACAGGACTGGCTGCTTTCAAACTGTTCTTAGAATACCACATACATGGCAGCAGGCAACTGAGAAATCCCATTCTCCAGATCTGGTCAGCCTTAACAGAAGGAAGCAGTAAGCACCTAGCTTTTTTGTGGGGTAGTACTAACTCTGTAGCTGTGGCACAGACCAGGATTGAGGCTGATGAGTCTAGGGTGGCTGTTGCTAGTGAGTACGATGCAGCAGTCACTGTCCTTAGAGTGTTGGAGCTGCTTGCTCCTCTTTTTCCTCTTTTAATGCAGCTCAGAACACAGTTGGCCTTCCGGGCTGCAAGCTCACACTGCTGGCTCATGTCCAGCTTCTCGTCCACCAGGACCCCCAAGTCCTTCTCTGCAGGGCTGCTCCCAAGGACATCTTCCCCCAGTCTGTGTAAATACCTGGGGTTGCCCTTGCCCAAGTGCAGCACCCTGCACTTGGCCTTGTTGAACCTCATTAGGTTCACATGAGCCCACTTCTCCAGCCTGTCCAGGTCCTCTGAATGGCATCCCTTCCAATGTATCTGCTGCACTGCTCAGTGTGGTGTCATCTGCAGACTTGCGGAGTGGAGTGCATTACTTTATATTTGAGAATATCTGGAGCTCAAAGCTGGGAGCTGGCTTGGCTTGTGTGGTCTCTTGTATGGCAGTTGCACTTGAGCAGTATCTATGCAGTGCCCTTACTTAAAACTTGCCTCACACCCCTGTAGCTTTTGTAGGGCTTTTTGATCTACTCACACAGACCATGAGGATGCTAAGTGTACACTTGTTGCTGAAATATCCTCAAGACTTCATGGGCTGATTTCCCAGCTGCTGGCCATGCTGTGGAATAGAAGGCCCAGAGCACTTGACAAATGCAGGTTGTTTGTGTAGCAGCAGTATTTGATCCTTAGCAGAATAAAGTATGTATCAAATAAGTAAAACAAGTATCAAAATGTTGAGTTTGCAATTGGTTTCTAGTGGAAGTTGCTCTTAATCTAGCTCTTAGAGCTTCCATTTGAGCAGCTTTTTCCAAACAGGCTTATTTTTACTTGTGCTGATGCTGTGGAAGAGAAAGCAAGTAGATGAGCAACTTAACAGAAACCTAACCAAAATCTCTGCTTAGATCCAGCAAGAGTTGAAGTGAATCAGGGCAGACTCTTGT